CAATGGGATTTCGTAGGTGGCACAAACTTGCATGTAGTATAAAGTAGAAGCCCGCTGCAAGCGCATGGCGCTGACTACGATGTCAGGCATTTGATTTCCAACACTACCACACTTTCCTATAATAGCCGGCTCTACATGTTCTCTACATATGAATAACTCCGACGCCGTATAGATTTACACTTGTACAGATACAACATGCTCGGGACCAGTCTCATGAGTGTGACAACGATGGTACTGAGACGATCATACGCAACAGCGGCGTGGAGAAGCGGCGGTGAGATTTATTTGAATATGCGTATATTTGAGGCCCGTCTATGTTACAGACCGAGAACGAGACCAATAATTCTATACAACATACCTAATATATACTACTAGTCAACGCCATACTACATGCCGAGCATTGTTTCCCATCACATCCGGATGAGCTACGTACCTAACTACCTACATAGGCGGCTAACCGAGATTTCATAGATTCTGTAGATTCCACGCCTTCTTGGCCTTCAACCTGAAGCCTGATCGTACATACATAATACGGAATTACCCGACTAAGGCAACGATCCCTTGGATCCCGCATATCAGATCTCGTTACACCTGCGTCATTTTCTCATATGCGCGCTTGGATTCTTGCCTTGCTGTTACAAAGACACTTACATACGGCGCTTATAACAGGTACCTACATGTACGTACTTGAACCTAGGTAGGTTAGAGAGTTGGCATGGATGTATCAATATGAGCATCAATAATATGTATGTATGTAATCAATACTTCATCCCGTAAACAGCCACATTTTACCTAAAATACCTAAGTTGATATGTATTGCATCTTAATATATTATATATACTTGCATATGGTTATGAAGCAGACACGAAGCTTTGCCGTATAGGGGAAATTACTTTGGGTAGTTACTTGACACTACCTGCCCCCCCAGTCGATTAACCTGCATCTAGGAAGAGATATGTTAGGAGGTACCTAACATAATATATACGACATAAGAACATTAGGCATGTTGGTGGTAATTACCTACTACGTTGGGTGTTACTAGCGTTACCTGCATGGGTGGTAGATCAATGGCAGGTAGAAGGCAGGTACGTAGAAGGCAAGTACGTAGAAGGCAAGTGGGAAGCAGGGAAGCAGGGAAGCAGGTGGGAGGTAGGTAAAAAGGCAGGTAAGGCAGGTAAGACGGAAGTTGTATTGTATGCTGTACCTATTGTAGGCTGTATGTAACTCCCACAGGAATTTGGAAGATCTGTCACATCCATCACCTTTTCATCTTCTAGTACCTGAGGAGCACCAGGCTTACGGGATGCGGTTCGGGTACGCTATGTCGCTTTAAACCCGGATATGAGGAAGAAGGAACAGAAGGTTTCATCGTCATTTCTTACCCATTCATCCATTGCGCGTGTTTCTACCCCGTATACCCTTGCTGCCGGTACGGCAAGAATTGCTACGACTGGTTCCCAACGGATCCAACTCGGTGGGGGTACCATACTTTTCTATCTTGCTATACCTATTTCTTCGTGCATTTTACCCGACATGCAAGCTGACAGCATACAGAGAAACCTAGTCGGCCAAATGTTGGTCGATGCCCAAAGCTCTCATCACACGCAAACGATTCAAACCTCGTACTATGGGTGCGTCTGCTGTTACTGCCACTGCCGCTGCCGCTGCCGTTGCCGCTACCGTGGTAGCAATTAGCTTGGACTACCTACCTACCTACCTAGGTATTTGTGCCTTCAAAGCCTTCAGCCATTTTGTCTCTCCATCTCAAATAATTACGACGCATGTCAGTCTCATGAGCTGACGACATCCATGCTCAATTTTCCTCAATTCACCCCACCTTTATCGCAAATGCACTTCCGTTTTCTTCACCTTGCAGACGCCCGTGACGCCGTACATTCCTACCTCTTACATAGGTAGTACGTCTTTTCGCTCAAGCCGCCTACGTTTGATACGCCCGGTCCCTTGCGGCCAGACCCAACCTAAGGCCGACCCAGACTCGTCTCTGCTTTGGTGCCTTGTCCATGCAACACCAGCTAATACCATCTCAGAGGGCTAGGAGGCTAGGAGGCTAAGAGGCTAAGAGGCTTAGAGGCGTGCTACAGCAGCAAGCTTTACATATGCACATCCTCTTGTGACTACGGTTCGCTGCGAAGCTTGCAGGTCCACTTGCATAGCCACAGTAGAACCTAACCATCCCTAGGTAGACTTTCTTAGCCTCTAACCCGCCTGGAAATCATGAGTCATCGCATAAAAACACGCCGTTAGAATTAGATAGGGTAGCACCACGCATCCTACCGTAAAACCCCAAAGAACCCAGCTGCACCTGCGGGAGGCACTGTCCGAAGCGCACCTGCCAGGGGGTTAGCAGAGAGATCCATTTGAACCATGCAAGGCATGGGGATTATATAACCGCCAAGGAGACCAACTCCACGATTCCATAGTCCATCGGCTCCATTTTAATTGGTTTTCATGGTTACAATGATCGAGCCCGTCGTGGCGTGCCGTGGTATCCTTCCCGCTTACCGTTTGTCCCGATTTGCCCGTTTCGGTGCGTACCGTACCACACCCCAAGCAAATTAACGCATACAATACCGAGGCGGTGAATGGGTATGATTGAGTCCCATTAGATGCCAAAGTAAACAAAGAGTGACAGGCTATGCTACGGAACCTTGGTGTCATACGTATGTATGCCAGTTATCCATAGTTGCTATACATGGTATCCCGTCATTCACTACACACCCCGGTGTGACTACAAGGATCTACAATTAAGTTTCCAACGTAGAAAGTTTCCGAGTAAAAAGTCGACGAAAAGTCGACGACAAGCTTACGAGAAGTGTACGATATGTCGCCGACAACGCATTATTCAAGGAAACAAAACTAAGACACGAAATAGCAAGTAAACGTCAAAATAATCAAGACACCAAACCTACTTGTTGAGAAAACAAAAACAAAAACGAAAGCCAAACTAGGAAAAGAGATAGAATGATCAGCGCATAACGACAACATGGCCGAGACTAATAGGTTACACTTCAAGTGAGCTGGATCCCCCTTCTCCTTGAATCTAATTCACCCACAACGCATTATTCCTTCCCGTTCTGGCATATATTCCTTGTATATCGAGATAGTGTCATCCTTCATTCGGGAAATATAGTTCATCCCTGTATGAGAGATCCATCATCAAGCAGATGTCGTAGCCCAGCTGGCTACAACGCAGAGGACGAAGAGCAGGAGAATGACACAACATGTCCACTACCTACGTACACTACCTACGTACTTTGTTATTCTACTACCTCATCTGTTGCTTTGCTTCTTGCCAAGGACAAAGGGAACTTATGGGCAAGTTTTGCCTAGAATTCCATGTCGCTATTTTTTTTTTCCTTGGCTAACTTTAGCTCATGTATGGTTCTTATACTGGGCCAAGAGATGTGGTCTAGCAATTAGTAGTGTGATCCATCTGAGAAGCATTGACACACAATCGAATCTTGTGGATCAATATATGTGGCACAGCACGGCACGGACAATAGACTAGATGATAGAGAATGAAAATCAGCTAATAATGACATCCCTGCAGCGAAGAGGCGTCAACGTACGACTCTAAACATGGTAAGTTTAACGAGCGCCTAACGGAAGAGATCCAAGCCCGATTGGACTGGATTGGCGTCGACTGGGCTAGCGACGACGAAGACGAAGACGAAGACGACGATGATGATGGCAATGAAGAGGCAGGGCCAAAGCCTATCCAATCTCGTAGGGAGGTACGGTTGCTTGACTACGCTTGCGGGACAGGCACAATGTCAAGAGTGGGTTTCCTATTTCGTGGAAATATTCTCCCCCCTCAGGGCTACCTCTCGTCCTAGCTCTATCGCATTGCGTAGAGTATTGTAACGTATTTTTCTGACATCTTACGATAGGCATTAGCCCCTTATACGACGCAAAGCGTTGGTATCGACATATCAGAAAATATGGTTGCAGCGTATAACTCACGTGCTGAGATCCAAGTATGTATAAGGTACTCGGCTTATGTAGTTAGCGAGACATGTCTAAAACCTTCATAGGGCTTAACTCGCGATGAGATGCATGCTATAGTGGGAGATCTTGCAGCGGCAGATGGGCCGCAGCCTTCGGACCTTTTCGCAGACTCGCGTTTCTTCGGATTCGATCTGGCGACTGTCGGAGGTGGGCTCCACCATTTCGCGGACCCGGAGCTAGCTGCCGACCGCCTTGTCGAACGTCTACGTCCCGGTGGCGTCTTACTGGTCTGGGACTTCTTACCGCACGGGCCTCACCACGGACTTAATGCGCATGCAGTCTTACATCACGGCCTCTCCGAGGAAAGGGTCCGAAAAATGTTCGAGCATGCCGGGGCCGGAAAAGGCTTCTCTCTCGAAGTTCTCGGCTCCGGCCTCATGCCCGGCCACTACGCGCAAGAGGGTAAGGAGCTTATGAAGAGACAAATATTCTTGGCTAGAGGAGAGAAAGCTGCATAATTGTAATACCTCAACGAGCATTGAGGAATTGACGGTTCATTTTTATAGGGATATTGGAACGATGCACCCTCAAGTATTCGGCCACGAAGTTGTACTTAAATATAGCGCTATAATTAGTACCACTTTATATTAATTAAATTCAAGTTATATATGGGACTGAACTGTTAATATCTTAAGACTTATTATCGTAGGCTTTGCGGCGTATCTCGAGCAGTTATGTTAGAGATGTGGCAGTAAACCCCTTCAAGTACTTTACTATATGTCTTCGTCACGCACTCATTCAATTAGTATAGCTTTGTTAACTACAACCCCAAAATCAACTCCGGGAAATCTCCCGAGGATATTGAATATTACAATTATAGTGCTTGATCTGTAAAGCTATCGGTTGTTTTGTGACCTTTCTTAAGCGGCCGATGTTATTGGGGGGTATTTAAACGCACTATGAGCTTAATATTACCACGTTGCCTTGGCCTTGAGGTAACTAATGAGACTTAAATAATATACAATAGGAGTGGTGCTTGGAGGCTATGTCACGAGTTGGAACCAAATAGCATAGAAACAACTGCCTCTCTCTATTCGACATGTTATGAGACGGAGCAGATATAGTCTTCAAGAGCCAACATTCGGGTGCTACAGGTGCCCAGTCGCAGGACTCTTAGATCAAACTAGTTGGGTTAGCCGCCTTGCTCACCCTTCGAACATATTAGCAACCCCATTTTCGGAATTATCCTAGTCTCTCCTTTGCACCCCTATCTGCTTTTGCATTCTAAAGCCGCCTACTGTGGCCACGCTCCACGAAGCCGTTCGATTTAGCCTGGTTCCATCGAGAGCGAGGAAGTAAAGCCATGGCCTAGAGGATGAGGAGTCGGGTTGTAGAAGTAGGTAGTGATATAGAGCCGGGCTTCATAGGAGAGACGCGGTGCTTGAGGGTAGTTTTCGTATTAGCCTAACACCTGAACACGCACTTAATTGGAGTTGGAGCTTCAGCATAGGAAAGTAAACTTACGCGTAGAAAAAGACAAGAGAACTTCCCAACTCAGAATAGTATTATATTAACAATTAGCGCTCTAGTACTTAGGCAACCTGCACTCCATCCACTCGCTTTAGGTACATAGGTTAGATAGGTACCTACTTATCCCAAATGTCGAAACTGCACGCTCTTCCATCCACCACATCCTCTAGATAGAAGTATTATCCTTGCCCTTCTCCTCCCTAAACACATATTCGCCCGTCACCTCGTCCCTATCCATATGGAAACACCTCTCAGCATATATCCCCTGGATATTCTTATCGCGCCACGCAGCGCCTAACCGGCGCACCATCACCGGCTTCCACCCGCCGACGTTGATCGTGATGTGCCGCCACGGGCTCCCCCGCTTATCGCGAATCAAAGCTTCCAGCATCGCTACCGCCGCGTTGTAATCCAGATCTTCGCTATTACGCACTGTGTGGTGAGCGCGCCAGACCGTCTGCGTGTTCAAGTTGAGCGTGTGGAGTCGGGGGAAGTTGCAGAGCGCCTCGAGGAACTGGCCAGGGTCGCATGTGGTTGCGTCCATGCCTAGCTCGAGATAATCGAGATTGACTAGTGCGTGGGAGAGTTGAGTAAGATCTTCTACCCGCATCGTGGGATACCGTCGTGTCTCGTCGCTAAAACCGGTGTAATCTTGGAAGCTCAGAGCCTCGAGCGAGCTCGCATGACAAAATAGCGAATCTATTGGAAATAATTCCGTATTGCACGTTATCTTAATCTTTTGAAGAGCCTCGATACGACCTATCAGTACGTGTAGAATCCTCGTCACGTTTTCACGTTGGTACAAGGTATGTGTGGTGAAGTCTTCGCAGTGGAGTGTCCGGAGGTTGTTGAGTTCCGCAATAGGCACTGAAGTAAAGAATTTGAATAGGGGCACGTCGATAAGAGTTAAATGCTCTATCCGCGAGAAATTCCAATGCCTTTGGACTTCATCAGCGCTGTGGTTCCAGTCGTATGATTGAAGTGATATTATTTTAAAAGGCGGCAGGCGTTCATTCCCATTGAATTCAAAGCTTGTCCCTTGGCCACGGCCGTTATAGTTGAGATTTTGTGTGCATTGAGCCTGGACAAGGAATCGCTTTAACGAGTCGATGGTTCTCGTGAGAGCAGGACTCTGCATCTTTAGAGAAATAAGATTACTCGCAGGGATATATTGGGTATAAGTGCTGTATAAGTCACTATAAGAGTCCTCTAAAGGCAGGTCCTCGACATATATCTTGGTCTTGTTAACATTGATGTGGTATGGGCTCAATATATCGGACGGTGCCGAGAAAGGAAAGGCCGAGCCTGTAAGAGATTGATTTTCGACATAACGCCATCTTTCAGTGTCAGTCATATTGGGTTAGAAAAGCTGAAGAGATTGAATACCTCAAAGTCGAGAGTCTTTGTACCCTGTCCAACACCCGCTTAGTGTCTTTCGCGTCAAGATTGCTCCTTGCTTCTACGTGTCTAGTAAATGAATAAATATTTCCAAAGTAACCAGGGAAATAGGTCTCGGCGAGGGGGTCTATTATATGTTCGCTAAGTTGTATAGTTTCATAATGTATAGGCGTAATGATTGTTTCCAGTCGTCTAGATAACCGGCGAGCGTCAGCTAGCGTCCGGGAGTCAATGGCTCTCAACTAGGGAGATATAATGTTAACTACCAAGTCTGTGGATGAAAGGAGGTGGTAAATTGATGGGTAACCTAATACCTGTTTAAATATAATATTTAATAATTCCGCGCTGAGGCTGTCAAGACATATGGTTTGTGTAGGAATATACACCGTGGCTCCTATTTCCATGAGGCGATTGTGACTATTCTTTTTCCTTTTAGGATAAGTTGACAATGAATAACCGGGATAAGTCTTCCGTATGGTCTTCACTTGGGTCATGATCGGTATTGAGAAGTCCCAGGTGATGTAACGAGCAGGGCAGCTTAACTGTCTTATTAACGACGACGTGAGTTTCTGCTAGGTGGGAGATATGTCGACTAATAAAGCGAGGCTAAACGCGGTAGGTAAAATCAATGACAGGTGACAAGAAAGAAACACTAGCAGAAACGTGGCGCCTTGAGTGTTGATGAGACGAAGACAATCTATTAGATAGAAGAGCTAATGAGAAGAGCGGTATAAGCGATCTCGACCTCGAGCTAGGCTTTGACAGATGGAGAGAAAGCCACTAAACCTCTCGCGGGCAAAATAGCGAATGTAGACTATGTGGACTTGCATAATTGTATATCATGAACCGTAGCCAACATTAGCCACCGACACGATAGAAGTTTGCTGTTTGAAGTAGAAAGCTACCAACCTAAGTTAGGTACCTAAGTAGGTAGGAATTCCCGAGAGCAGATGAGACGATCCAGTCAATAGGATGTTCCTAACGGTCCGAATTCGCGCCATCCAGCATCTCGGTTCGAGTCAGTATATGAGAGGATTCTTATGCATTGCCAGACATCAGCACACGGCCTTTGCATTCTGAATGCGCTAGAAGGGGGAGATGTGAGAAAACTAATAAGAGTGTTGGAGTGTTGGAGTGTAAAAGTACGTACCTAACCTAACTTACATAGGTAGTACCTACCTAGGTTAGGTAGGTACCTATGTAGTTACACATGAAATTCGCAAGTTTCGCCAAAAAGAGCCAACCCCGCATGGCGCTAATGCCCGCTTCTCAAAACTCAAAACGCGCGCTGAAGCTGCCGGTTACTTTTTGGCCGCCACGCGCAAACCACGGGCTCGGAACTAAACCGAACCCCTCCGCCTTCGCACGTGGAGGATGGGCGGGACATGGATAGAATAATATAATTTCTTTGCTAGGTAATCAATATAATTAAATATTCATCCCGGTAATACTTTCTTTACTATCTTGTAATCCCCTCCCTTGTTATTCTATTACCACTAGCAAAGCTTAGAATAAAGCATCGGTCGAAAAGATAGGGTACATCCGCTTCCATATATCACCTACCCCATTAGGAAATAAATAAACCCCGAATCTTGCATCTCAGGGTTCTAAGGGCATACATACCATCTAGCATATACATATACCACATGCAGACAAATAAAAAAAGGCAAATACGAGCAAGCAGCAGTCTAACGTCGAGGGTGTGTGTATGAAGGAATGCGCAAGATCGGGGATCTACCAATGGCCAGATCGGACAAATCAAAGCGGCAAGCGGGAACAGGGTATCATACATACATAGCGTTCCTGGGAAAAAAATTGGGAAAAATGCAACAATGCGTCCGGACCCGCCACTTAGGACCCGCCAGGAGGGTTCGCCCGGCTCTGCCCGCATTGTCCAATCGCAACTTTGCCTCTGAGGCTCCGCCGGCTTTTTGCGGGTCCCCGCATCGTGTTGCACGTACTATGTAATAGGTAGTACAATGCAAATGTATACAGATATTACTTGGGTATCACGATTATAACGCTTGCTGCTTGGTCTGCCGGTTTATACGAATTGTACGAACGGGAAGGATAATTATAATTTAGCAGAGTAGCCTACAAGTAATTTTTTGGGTTAACTAGCTAATACATGTACTAGCGAACCTAGCAATAACACGTGGGTTGAGTGGTTTGTCTAATGTTTGCATTGACACACTGGTCGAGAGAACTTACAAACAAAATCCCTGTAAATAAGATAAGCAATGCAAAAAAGCAACTTTAACCGGCTTATTTTCTCTAAAAAGCTCGACGATGGGCCATCACAAAATGAAACCAGCCTACCTAGCCCCTAGGTTCTACGGTAATTCCTAAATCAAATATGAGCCGTTATAACCCCCCACATGTTCGTGTCAAACCGTTATAACTACTAGCACAATGGAAACATCAGACGAAGCCCCAAGTACTTGTAGAGACCGGATGAGCAAACCTTAGTACAAGATAGTAAGAACCCTTCTTTCCTTCTAGAACGCTCACCTGAAACGACGGAGCATATCTAGCAGCAGCACCCCTACGAGGCTAGGACTAACTCAAGAAACCGGCTACTACATCATAGCGAAAACCCGTCATATAGGTAGATAGCTGACCGAACACGAGGATAGTCCTAACCACAATGATCAAGGCTACCTAGGTACTTGTCCTCGTTCACACATGGCAGTCTTAGGAGCGATACCTACGTATATCCTCCCTCTTTCGAGATCCACCCTCCTGAACAACTACACCTAATAATATTCACCCATCCACCCATCCGTCCACATCTATGATCTCCCGGATAACCTTCAGCTTACGAATGCCTTCATAATTATAAAGCTTCAGCGCTAGCACACCACCCGCTCAGCACAAACACAAGCACCAAGCAACATCAAAGCGTATACAAACGATCGAACCGAAGCTTTAACATTTGGGGAATCTCGTTTAAGACGAAAAAAGCAGCAGCAACGTCAAAAATAGTAAACAAGGACGGCGTAACAAAAGGGGCCCAACATCAATACAACAACGACAGAATAGAACAGAACCATGCGTGATCTTCGTAGCTGCTTATAGCCGGCCTTTTTCGCCCCTGCGCAAATTTAATTCTAATAGGTAGATGAACGCCCTTAATCCAGACAAGCGGAACATATGCAAGCCCGGTCATTATCAACATACCGATCAATACCGGTAGATCGGCTGCTTCTGTTTCGAGGATGGAGCCTCGTAATCGCTAACGTCGTCACGCGAGCGCCGATCGTCAGACGAGGAGTCTCCCGCAGCTCCGTGCATCGTTTCCTTACCGAGAGCGCTCTCTTGCCTACCCAAGTAACTCGGCGTCGTCTCGAAACCGGGGTGGAAAGGCTCGAACGCTAACCGGGGCTCCTCGATATAGTTTGATGATGCCCCACCGCCAGATCCCGAGCCGCCGGCCGCACGGAATCTCGACCCTGAGGGCTCGGGGTCCCTAAACGGATCTTCGTCTTCGGTAGCGGGCGTATGTGATCTTGAGGGTCCTGCTATAGCAGGTTCGTATTCTCTTTCCTTGCCTTTGCCGTTTGGTTTTCGAGCTGGTATAGTAGGGGGCTCTAAGCTACCCCCATTCCGTTCCGACTCTATGGGGCTCACGGAACTCCGAGACGGAGGCTCAGTCTGAGATTGGGGCTGCGGGTCCATGATAGCGACGAGTTTCCTAGCGTTTAACATAGCTCTTTGATGTAAGCTCAGCGATGCCTGAAGCTGCTCGTTTGTGTCGATCAGGCTCTCCATAGTGTCATTATCAGGGGCTGGGTTTTCAGCAGTCATGTACATCTGTATGCTTCTACTTGCGCTAGTGCAGCGGTCGGCAAACTCCTTGATTAGGTCGTTACTGAGAACTTCGACTGGCGGGGTGTTGGTAACCACTTGATGTAGCAGATTCGCAGATGTCCGCGCTTCCTCTAGCCTACTAGCTAGCTCAACAGGGCTCGGGAGGTTGCTGTTCGAATGGGCTCGCGCGAAATAGTTCTGGGAATGGGGGTTGACTGGAGGTGGAGTCATCGCATGCGTCACCGGAGCAGGCCGTCCCTAATTAGCAAAACATTAGCATGATCCAAGTAGAGAAGAACGCCGGTTTAACATACTCCATATAACTGCTGCGCTCTGTCTTTCTCTTTCTTCCACATATTAATGATAAGGGCCAAGCCTTCATCATACGCCTTGGTGTTTTCAAAAACGTCTAATGTCTCCATCATCATCTGTCGCACACTCGGATCGCGTACGGATCTCAGCAGCTCTTTCGAGGTGTCGGTAAATTTTGAGTCCAAATTTCTAGTAAATGTCTGACCGGGGTTATCGGCAAGGATGCGAATGAGCATTATGGCATTGTACTGATAGGAAGGTTTCGTCCAGTAGTCCCTTTTTAGGTATTTTCGAATTAGGCGCGCGCATTCTGCCGCTGCGGCCGGAGATGACTCGGCAGCATCGACGATAGGAGGCAGGAAAAGGACTTCGTCTCCAGAGTTATTGGAGCCAGATTCGCAGAAGGATTTCTAATCGAAAGTCAGGATTGTTCGGTTCAACTTCAGGCAAGAATTGAATTTGGTAGGTGTGGACGCACCACACAACGGTAGGCCGTAACCTCGGGGCTTTCGCCTTGGGGAACTTCAGGAGTGTTCGGGGCTTAACGAAGGTACATGTTAGCGAAAAGTATAACTAAATCATCAGACTTGCCAGTTTGCGCAAGCGACAACTTAAGGTAAGGCTTTCATCGTACCACCGGCAGACTTCTTCTTTCTCATGGTGCCAAGCACCTTGCTCATCTTGAGCGACTTCATTAGAGCCTGCGGTTGTTTCCCCTTAACGGCGCATACGCCAGTAGTTCAAATGTGAATCGGGAAAAGCCGAGGCTAGCGACCGCGGTTATAGTGCAAGTCTCAACCTAGGGTTTGAGTATGTAGTGACGGATGAAGTACTAAGTTAGGCAAGGAAGCTAGACGGCCCCCCTAGGGCTGTCGGCGGTGGAAGTGTGGTGGTGGTCGTAGTTGAGATGTATAATGCAACTCTGAATCCAGGGACCAGTGGGTAGAGTTTGAATAGTTTGGGGGCTGTAGGGTGATGAAGATGATTATATCGGCTGGAAGAATGGATAAGGCCGATGAAACTGCGGTCTGATTTGTTACGTTTTAGGGCTGGCGCACTCAAACGCACTCAAAAAGAAAGCCTTAATTGGCGAAGAGCTTGATAGAAAGGAAAGACTTGGTAAAAGGTTGGCTGTTAGAAAAAAAAAAAGATTGTGTTAGGAGTTAAGGCAATCTCCAATTCTCCATGAGATGAGAGGGACGTATTGTCGGCCAATTGACATAAAGCAACAGCGCTCCACTGCCTAATGCAGTATGTACTTCAACTGTGATGCCGCGCGACTGCCTAGAAGCTCTTCGGACCCCAGCAGCCCCAGCAGCCCCAGCAGCCCCAGTTGCCACATTTCTCTAAGCTAGCACGTCTTAACCAATCATAGTCTATCTATGCGGGCCGAAATAGTCAAGGCAGGATCATCCTGCAGCACTCTTAATTATGCACAGCCTCAAAACTATACGCAACGACTCTACATGTGACATAATGCAGGTGTACGAAAAAGAAAATATTTTGGCGAGATTGGATACTCTACTTTACATCTAGACGGGCATTCGAGTCACGAATACCCTCACCGTCTTGGCTTCTTTCATCGAACGCGTGGCACATCAGCATCTCTTCATTATACACGCATTGTCCTACGTATTCAATCATCAGATGATTAATCACTTTTATAACCACTTTTATGGTTATAAAGGCTATTTGAGCTATTATATATCCCACGTGTATATGCTGACAAAGCATCGTGGCTTGTCTTTTATAGTCGCCCCTTTTTAACAATATCTAGCATATCATTTATCCTTCTCTTATTCATAAATCATTCATCCAACCATGTAACATCTAACTATACTATTACAAAATAACAATTTTTCTTTAGTCAATTTAAAGAAACTTATTCTACCAATTAGATTATAACTTCATATGTGTGATTTTATTGCTTGGAATAGGAACTTGATACTGGCATGCCGTATTGTACTTTTCGAAACCATTATGTAGCAAACTACATGAATTGAAACAACTAACTTAAACGAATCACAGAGCAAATCATCAAGGTAAAGTATAGAACCGGGGGAAAGTATTCGTTGAAAACGGCCTCAGATTGGAAATCTCTGGTTTTCTAGTGCATACATACAAAGCAAGACAGCCAGCCAGCCAACACCCCTGACGGCATATGGTCCCTCTGAGCGCGCCCTTTCGGCAGCCTACCGTCTATGAAGGGGTGGAAAACAAACACAAAGCTCAGCTCATCGACGCCGTACGCCCTAAAAATGCCAACGCGGGAGTGTGATGTAATATACACAATGACAAAATCCTCGTATTCCGCCGTATCTGTCCGAGACCTCGGAGACCTTCCACTAGTCGAATAAATGTGCAAAAGAGGCATAACTCAGGGAATATATCGCCAATGAGTCAGTAAGGGAGATGCCGAAGCGATGAAGCCTCAGGTGATATCGGTGCATAATTAGTCCATTCCAAGAAACAAACCGGGCTGGTTTGAAGCCCTGCATTATATGGACAAGGACCATATTTTCGCTTCGGTGACCATATGATGAAAGGGCCACTCAAGCGATAATATTTCACGAGTGAACAAGTCGAATTCTGTTCACAGATCGTGGTATATCGACGGCTTTTCTGGGAGACGTCGACTCAACATCGTTCTCGTCTTCATCATCTTCCTCCATGGAAATTATCTTCTTGCTAGTAGCCATTGACAAGTCCGCATCATCCTCATCCTCGTCTTCATCTTCTTCCGGTACATCCTCAGAGCCTGCCGCGACAATCGTAAGATTCGAGTTATGCGACGCGGGCTTTCGAAGGGCGGTTCGGAAAGCTGCCGGTAGTTTCGTCTGCACCTTAGCCTTGCTGTAGGTTCTAACTACAGTCTTCGACTTTCGGACTGCCGATGTCTTCTGGCTCGAACCTTTCGGGCCCAGAACCGCCTTCGTATTGACAGAGATTGTCGACACGCTACGCTTAATAGCTGTGGCGGCACCCTTGGCCGCTTTGAGACCAGCAGTAGAGAGAGTATGCTTAGCACCCTGTGCTTTTACCCCTGTCGCGGTCTTAATCTTGCGCTTCTTCGCTGCGCTGCCCTCCGCATCCTCCTTCTCGCCGAGTGCGTCTTTGAACTTGCGCTTTCCGCCACTAGCACCCTTCTTACCGGTTCCCGTCTCCTTGGGCGGCTTCGGCTGCTTCACTTCCTTGGGTTTCGGGCCCAAGACTCCTCGACAATTCGGGCTACCACAGAGACACTTTTGGACGTTCTTAGCAGAAAAAGGGTCAAAGTTGTAGTCGTATGTCAACTCCTCGCCCGTCATGATGGGGCGGTCGCCCGCAAAGAGGGCCATGCGAGGCTGTCCCGAGACAATCCACTTGATCATTCGGCAGTTTGGCGAACATGAATGATTGACGAAACGAGCGATACTACCAGTCGTTGCGTCGATGATCATGTTCTGGTCAAACGACATCAGATAGTAACACTGAATTTGTCAGTAACTGCACCAGGAGTTTTCATAGCCAAGATCCATCATTAGGCTTACCTGATTATCCTGGTACTTTTCATTCATGCGGCGATCGCACTCCTCTTCTGTGATGATCTCACCAGTATACTCCATGATAATCTGATTGGGCTCAAAGCATCGATTGGCACGAATACCATAGCCTCTATCCGAGGTCTTGATAACCTCTACTCCTACGCGGTACTTTCCTCCTTCCTTGATCCGCTCCTGGAGTCTCGCAAAAGCGCGGTTCTGGCATAAGCCAGTGCCAACATTGCAGTTGGTTTCATCACACTCGTAAAGCATGATTCTGTTCTGGCAACTCTCCCCGCACCCGTCTTCGGGGGTGCATACGCACTTGGATTGATAGTCCTTGAAGTGGGGTGTCTTCTTCCAGTAAGCCGCAGCATCACCAACGAATCGATCTAAGAAAATGTTAGTTGAAACTGATTCAAATACGAGCTATAATAAGGTTTCAAATAGAAAACCAAACAAGTAGAAAATAACGCGAAAATAATGAAATAAATAAACTTACTCTTCGTTATCTTCTTCCACTCGTCGGGCTTAGGCTGTCCCGGAGGGAGAGGGTTGCAGATGTCAAAAGGCAGCTTAAAATCCCTGCCCTGGATCAATGTGCGCATCCCATTGTATATAGGCATGGGCATAGTAGTGTTTACCTTGCCGCTCGGCATTAGCTCAGGCAATTGCGCTAAGCTCTTCTTCTCTGACGGGGTGAGTCCCTTGTAGATATCTAACGGGGTCTCCTGGCCAGCGTATAGGCCGCGATCAAGGTATTTCTTAACCCGTCTCTTCTTAACAGCCGGGCCAAGCTCAACAGCAGGTTCGGGCTCTGGAGCGGCAGCCTCTGGCGTCTCGGATGCGACCTTGGTCCTTTTTCTGGGAGGTTGCGAATCCTCCGGAGAAATATACTTCCCGTTGGCCCAGGTGGTGTATAGAACAGGCTTCTTATCTATTCCTGCAAATTCATCTGTGTCCTGCAGACGTCGTAGCTCACGCGACATCTTGCTCAGACCCTTCTCAAAAGTCTTCCTACCCCTCTTCCCTAGAGTAGACAGCTTGCTCGCCAGTGTTTCGGCTTCCACGCCTGTTGAACGCGTCGAGATGCGTCTCGAGGGAATCGCATCTTTGAGTGTGGAAGGTTTAGATTTGGTCGACTTCATAGAGACCGCATCGTCGTCGGGATCCTCTTCGTTTGCAACTAGAATTTCACCGGCAGTTGTGTGGCGTCGCCTTCTGTTAGATACGATGTCGCCTTTGGCTCGTCGTTTGCCGTGGATAGCAGTGCCGGCTAATTTAGCAAGGTTGTAGATTGGCGCGCTAAGGCGCTGTCGGCGCGAGCGTCCGTTCATAGGTGTGTCCAGAGCGGTTTGCACAGGGGATTCGGAAGGCTGAACGGAGTTCAGAGGCTCAGCAGACGCGACAATAGAGTCGGCTACCTCGGGCGTCGCGTCGACCTCGGTTGAGTCAACGGGTTCGTTAACAAGGCCAATTGCTGTGACATTGTCGTTCTTAGAGATATCTGAGGCCAAGCTGGCTGTGTCGGCGACAGTAGTTGGAGGCGTAGAGCTAAGAGACGCGGCAGCAGAGAAAGAGTCTGCGGCAGGACCGAGGCTGGACTCGGAAGAGGGTGCGCGCGTCGGAGACATGGTTGCAGGTGAATCCATAGTCGAGCGACGCGACGATGGAGTTGGCAGTTCAGCCAGATAATAGTTTGGAAGAGATAACGACGCGTCAAGTATGTGGTTGTTTTGGGAAAAGGCTAGTAATGGCGGAAAGAAGAGTTATGTAAGGTAATGTTGTAAAAAGGTAATGGTGTTGTGGTGGTATGGGTGGTATGGGTGTGATAGAAGGGTGTGAAGGAAGTAAGTACTTCGTATAGGTACTTCGTACTATGTAAGTACAAGTAGAGCGTAAATGTACCGTTAGTACCCCGTAATACCCAAATGGAATTGGTCAATGAATTGGATCAAGGTTTAGTTTTAGTTTAGTGTTGGGGTGAGAATAGAAAAGGTAAAGAGTGGTGAAATGGTAAAGGCCAATTAACTTGGGCCAATGATCGAGCTTATCTGCGACCTGGGAAGGTTCCCACCTTGGCTATTAAGTACTCGAGTACCTAATGCAAGGCCGGTCGCGTTTTGCAGCACGATCAAGGAAAATACCAAAGGCGGTTC